TAAAGCGTCCATTTTACAGTACATACACACTTAAGATTGTTAACTCTTGTACAGAAGTCAGAAGATAATGGTTTAATGTGTTGCATTGAATTGACGTGCTACATTAACGTTTGTAGAGTTGTATTGAGAACGCTAAAGATATGTTAGGGAAGTCCTAACATGCAGTTAATTAGTTCATCACAAATGTTACTTGATATCGTTATCACTTGAGATAGCGTTTCAAGTGTGGTAGAGAACATGAAATGTTTGTGAGAGGAGTCTGAGCACTCTGGTCTGTGGGATTGGCTGGGAAAAGTACGATTGGCCTTTATTATTTTTTTTTAGTAAGTTTTAAAAACACTGTATCACTTATGTCAAACTTTAAATCCTTATTTTGACCCACATCTGTTTATTATAAATCTGTAATTTAACTGTACAGTAACAATTATGAAACAAATATGATAAGGGTGTACAGAAAATACACCCTACCCACAGCACCTACCAATACACCTATTAATGTAGTACCTGCTCTACTACTTTTTATTTTTACAATTCTCTATTAAACGTTCTTAAATTTTAAGATACTTATTGGCCCATATGAGCATTGCCTATATAACACTATAGTGTTACATTCAATGATATTAGTCCCCTGGTCCAAAGCAGATTTGTCCCCTTCCCCTAACGCTTGACGGACTTCTACCCTTAGTGAATAATCCTTATCAGTAGGTTTTTTGAACTCCCGCTCTAATTTATACTACGTTGGTAATTCACGAAGAAATTCCTGAAAAGCTTTTCAACGAATCTAAAATAATTAATTAGGCCTAAGTGATTATGTTGTAAAAAAATGTTGTGAAACTTAAAACCAACATTTCTAAAAGCTTTTAAAATTATTAATACGACTTCGCCTCGCTTTCTATCTACTTAGTTTTATAAACTTTTACTCTTTATGAAGATAAGGCTATTTTAGAGAAAGAGGGTTCCTTTGTTCACCCCCAAGACAAACAATGAACGTGAACAACATATCTTTTTAAAAGCTATAAATATAACCAAATTTACCACACTGGTTCCGTTGCTTTATACACTTGCATTAAAATAATATTTTAATCAAATGAAAATTTATTTGTATAAACAGATTAAGTTACTTTTTATTTTGATTAAAATACCTACTTTGTATGTTCGCCATGTCATTGAGAAGTATTAAAGTAAAGTATTCAATAATGTATTGGTCACTTGGAGCTTTTGTAAGGACTGTCATATACCTTAGCTAAGAAATTCTGTTTCAGAACAATCTGTAACACTGCTAATTATTCTATGGCCACTCATCGGCAAGCTGTCAAAGCTTCTAGCTTCATCTCGCCACTTGAATTCCTTTTTTCATAATTCATATTAGTTTTTGTAGATTCATTGAATATTTATTTTCTAATATTTAAGACAGAATCCTATATAAAAATAGAGCGTTAAAACAAAAATGATGATTGAAGTATAACCCAAAAGGAGAACAAATGTCGACGCTGAGATGTAAGTGTTTCGGTACAGTAGAGTTTGACTCTCTGTAGCCGACTGTAAAGGTCGAGAACTTGGGTCTCGTTCGACTTGTCGCCGGTCCTCCCAGTTATGTGCGAGACGCTGACTGTATATCTGACGGCTGAGCGCATACTTTCCAGCGAGAACTAACTATTTGTCAATCCTAAATGTTATGAATGCAAGAAAAAAATCTTACTTTATTGCTCTTTATGATTATCAAACTTATGGTCTAATCCTTTGAGTGTACAAATTAATAAATCATGGAAGGTATTTTTTATATTTTCCTTCTTATTATTGTCTCTTTGTGTTTTCATCGCTTTAAAACTAATACAGTATACCATATTTTATTTTGTAATAAATTTACTTAATATGTTTGAATTTTAACACTAGTCAAATTTTAACTAATTTACGGCTATTATTAACCAACTGGCCTTTAGATTAGGATTCGTTTTGTTTATGATTTTACTTATGAGGCCTTAGCTCGTCGTTCGAAACTAAATATAATAAAAAAACATGTGCTGTTGTGACGTAGGATTTCTATGTAATCAATGATTTAGTAGTAATATTCACACGAGTTCGAAAGTTTTCATTATTTCGCCTCTCCCATACTGTATAATGTAAAATAACTTGGGTAGTTATGCGTTATATGCTATTTGTACGTATATACGGTAACTGGAAAATTTAGTTAGTGTGGCAATACTAATGCAGTTACTTTCCTTGAGACAGAGTTTAACTTTCGAACTGGGTGCGTAAACTTATTTTAAATGTAGAGCTCGTTTCTGGAGCGCACAGATATAAGTATGGGATAAAATACGAGAATATTCAATTAGATCTAAATCTATTCCAAGAGCCTACGTGTGTTTAGAAATCCAGTCAGTTAACTATTTTTAGTATATATGTCACTAGTAGACTTTCTCTGGTATTTATATCCTCAGTCTTTCCTGATCCGTTGATAACTTCTATCAACTTAGGGTACCAGAATTATATTTTTTCTTCGTCTACTTAAACTTGAGTGACTTCACCTTAACTTAAAGCGATGTTTAGCTGATTTCCACTCTTTCTACTTAATATCCCGAGTTCTGGGCTACTTTCCTTCCTATTAGGCCGTTATAAAAGATAACAATCCTGATGTTAACTTGAGATCTTACATGAAGATGCATACATTTCACACCTTTTCTATAGTTTTCACATCATTTGTTAATTCAACAATTTTATAATTAAGTAAAATCTTCAGGCATAGGTACCTTATCAAACATAATGGATATATATATTCTTTAGACTTCTTAACTGATCATATTAGTAATAAATTACTCTCCAACAGAAAAGGTCTACTTGAGAGACTTATTTTTCTTCCAAGGTTTATACATTGATTATAAACCGCTCTATAGATTAAAGGGCTAATGCATTTGTATGATAACAAGTTAAGCAGCAATTCAAGAGGTATGTATTGGTTTCGTACCAGCCGGTTCCGCCCCTAGAGCGAACTACTTTCTGTCGACAATTTTCTCCGTAGGTGTATGAGCCAATTTCAACGCGTGAAGTATCAACAAGAATTTCCTAACTTTTGACATGCACATACTTAGTTGTCATAATTTTAAACTCATTTTCAACTCATTTAAAACTCACCCTGTATATATATAGTAACTGTATAGCTAATGGTTAACGTAAACTCACATTGGCTGATGATCGATCTAATCATTACAAACATTTCAACCAAACACTTCGATATTATAAATGCTCCTTTTTATCCGCAATGTTTATCTTAGTAGTTCAATAATGAAAGATGAGATTCAGCCAAAATTGAGCCCGCTGCGGCTGAGCTCCGTTTGTTTATCAGACGATCAGCTGATTGGATGATGTGATGATTGTCCGTCCATTGGCGGTTCTCTGGCCCACTTGCCAGTTACCAACCTGTTATGCTCTTCCCCACTTCCTATTCCACTGACACACTACAACTTTCTTCCCCAGTCCTCACATCCCGCACGAATATCAAAGTCGCCGATTTGAGGAGCGTGCAACGCGCACCTTCTCGAATTCTCACAAACTCTTTAAGTGGGTAGATTTATTGCAGTGGAAAAAACGTTTAAGTGTGGTCCTAACTTTACAAAATAGATTTTATAAACATTGCAAAAGTCTGTGAATTAGTTTTCACTCATATATATTGTTTATTCTCTTATCACGTGAGAAACAAATTTTATACTCTTTTGGTTGTTCAATCCTAAATATATATTTTTTTATAGGTACAGAGTATCGAAACACGTAGTAATAAATTACACGAATGAATACCAATTCATCTTATTTTAAAAACTGTACGTAGAAAATTAATAGCAGTAGTTTCTCTAATAGCTTTCAAAATTACAAGAGACGTAGTTCCCATCAGAAGTTTTTTTTTTTTGAGGATATGACTTCATTAATATTACATCATTATTCTACCTTCTTGGTTTTCAAAGTTTTTTTTTTAATACGGCTGTTTGGAAATTCTAAAACAACCTACTGGTTACAGATCTGTTGTTTCAAAACATGATCTAATAATAAAACGAACTAATATTAGTTCAATTCATTTTTTGTATAGTAAATTGCTGAATTCACAATTTGAGTAAGACCTGAAATACAAGGTAAAATGTGTTTTACCCGTTGATATTTAAAAAACTACGATTTCGATAAAACTTGGTACAAACGTGTAAACCTACATTTATTCGAACGAGTTCGCGAACCAGCGTGCTCGGACCATGGGTACGGGGTTTTATGGGGTAAAAATGAGTTTTTCTCGTTTTTGACCCTCAAAACATAAAATTTCTCAACCACCAAATTTCTCTAGACCATTTTGAAGAGCTTAAAAACAAATAGTTTGGTATACTCAAAGTGTTTTTGTACGGTTATTACTTACGGAGAAATCTCAAAAAAGGCCAATTTTAAATTCCCATGTTATTCTTATCGAGAATAAGTAAACGTTTTAGTTTGCTTGTTTCTGGATATATTTTGATCAAACTTGGCAAATATCTTTATTTTTTATTAAGCTTTTAATGTTTTACTAAAAATCACACTTTATTACCCTCCTTGTAGCAGCAAACCTAGGTACTCGTTGAACCTATAATGTCAATGAAACAGATTTAATTAGAAATCAGGCAAATGGAAATTCACTTAGTCTGCAGGTTTGCTGTGGCAGGGGTATTTAACTAATCTATTTATAAATTAATTGGTACACCTGCATATAATAAAACCATAGATATATGTTTAGCTTTCGTCATCAACCCAACCGGTTGACAATTTTACATACGTAAAATTAAAATTACAAAATATCTCGGTAATCATGTTTACATCATATACATCATATACATAATACTTCGGAAAAGTTTTCGCAAGCAAGTGTCTTGATACAGTACAGTTGAGTTTACTTCAATTTTGCACCACTTTCCTCTTAAAAGGACTCGTCACAGTCACATTGTACGATTATAAAGAAGCATTGTGAGGTTCACGTATGTTTTTTTTTTTTTCAGAACGAGAAGATCACGATGGGTGAGAAGCGTGGAATGAAAGCGTTGGAGCTGTGGTGCAAGAGGGTGACCGACGGCTACCCCGGGGTCAAGGTGGAGAACATGACCACCTCCTGGAGGGACGGCCTGGCCTTCTGTGCCCTCATACACCACTTCAGACCAGACCTCATGTGAGTACATACATAGGACAAATAAATGACGATCATCATGACGACATGACGATAATCATCACAGTCGAGGTATCATAGGTCTGAATGAGTAAGTAACCAACTCCATTGTGGTGCTGCGGTCATCTGATACTGGATTACCTATATGATGCATATACCAGTGTCGTAACCCTCCTCCAACCACAACCATGATACTTCCGGCGGACTCCACGGGTATCCGGTGTCGAGACCGGTCCATTGTGCGGGATATTATCCCGTACATGGGGTATTTGATAGTTTGGGCGGGATAACTGACAACTTTAATTAACTGAGAAATTAGATTGATTTGGGGATATTGTAAAGTTGTTTTGTTGTACAAGTTGGATCTTTGGAGTGTTCTTATCAGCGAACGGATTAAAATGGTGGCTTCGTCATTAAAATGCGTTTTTCCCTTGAAAATCTCGTTGGCATTGGAAAATCTGTTATTGCAGTATATTTTTGTTGATTTGTCCCTACGTTCCGAAAACTAGCCGACATTATACATTAACAACTACAGATACAGCAAATAAAGTCTTGGTAAGTAGTTGCAGGTAAAGCGTCAGAAAGGGCCATGTGGTAGTAACTTCGCGTGCGGTTAAATGAATAATTATCTATCCCATTTCCTACGATTTGATTTAACTTTATATTAGTAGCATATGTTTTACTTTTGTTTGAAATAGGATGCTATACGTCTATTCCCTTGTTGTCTTCTTATTAATCTTATTCATAGTGTAGGCCGACATAAGTTTTTCCGCGGTCAGTTTTCCCACAAACATACGTAGCATCTACACTCTAGTTCTTGCCAAAGTTGCGCAACTCTGCTATCAATGACGAACCAGTCGCAGTATGACTCAGAGGAACCCCTTTATTGTTACTTGTTTCCATTGTGTTACATATTTAATTCTCGTAGAATTAAATACACGATTAAAATAAACTGTTTTTAAATAATAAGCTTACTGTCAAATCAATGTTTATCTAAATAGTGTATTATAAGTTTTATCATTGACTTTAAACAGATTTATTAACTCTCATCAGATGACTGCCCAACGCCTCTTTATTTCAAAAGGTTGTCGTGTGATGCATTGGAATAATCTTTGGACCTCTGCAGACCTATGTAATTGTAGCATAGGTACTGCAGCTGACAGCATATACAAATTATTTATCTAGCGTTGTTGAGAGTAATAACCATGGAGGGATTTACTGACTGAGCCATTTTCGATCGGAAGAGTTAGAAGCTTAATCAAAATCAGTAAATGGACATTGCCTATGATGAAGTTGAGTTGGTCATTAAACATTTTCTTGAGTTGTTATGTTATAAATCTATTGTTTTTTATGAAAATTTGTGTTAACAAAGAAGACCAATCGTTTACTTCTCTGTTCGCTCCGCTAAGTTGGAGGACCTGTGACTGCATACTTAGGTTTTATTTTATAATCAGAATTTATTTGTATATTTAATTTTGTTTTCATTAATTTCTACTAAACAATTTAGGTAATAAATTTATACTAGGCCTATCCCTGTATTTTCGTTATAATTATGTTCATTATAAGTTCAAAAGAAGAGACGAAAGATGAATAAGGATCACATTCCATTCAAAATTAACACCAAATAAGCAGTTGGAGTCACATTATCAGGTGGCGTTGTTTTACCTACTTGCTTGCTATTGTTTACCTTACCTGTAAATTTAATAAATGGCGTTATCAATTCTTTTTCTAAAAATATTTTGAGAGGTTGTCTGTGGACATTTTCATTTTTTTTCTTTTTAAATATAGGCCTTATTGGTTAATCATTGTTGTCAAATGCGCTGTTGTAAAAAATGTTAAATCTTTTAAAATTGTAGTCAGCGGATTCAAATGTCTGCAATAGGGTACTAAATCATAAAAATACAACCCACTGGAAAAATTATACACTGATAGATTTTTTCTACAGTGACCCGACAAAGTTGGCTTCCTTGTACTGTTTATTGTACAGAAAGCTGCTAATTGCTGCATATTTATACTTTGTCGTACGGTTAATACTTTGGCGCACATCAGGATTCCAACGAAACAACACAAAATAGCGTGGTTCTATTATGCACGTAATCCGTGTACCCTTGGAAATAGTTTGGCAACACTTAAAGAAAATGAATACTATGAGCAGCTGATTGACTATTATAACTACGATTTAACCTGTCATTTCGTGTTTATAGTTTATGTTCTCTTTTCGGTATTTTTGAACTTTCTGGACTTTTATTTTAGATAAAACATTCCTACGATCTTAATAAACAAGAAAATACCTTTAAAGCACTTTTTTAGGCGCGGAAACCACTGCAAATTACAAAAACATACGGAACTATTTTCTAAAGTCGCGGAGCACATTGCTTGCCGATGAAAAAATAGCGGAGTGATACGGACCGGTGACTACTTTCTCTAGGACACCTATTTGTGTTACCAGCTGAACCTAAAAACGTGTTGTATAGTGTTTGAAAGACTAATTATTTATATGCTTTATAGTGACTGTAGGAAAAATATAATGTGTAACACGAGTGCAAAAGGCCTTTGCTGCACACGAGAGCAATGTTTACGAGGAATGATCTCGAGTGTACCACTTTGCTCACTAGTTACACAAATAACTATTTCACACTTACCCGTAAATCAAGCACTTTGTGATTTCCTTGTAAAATTATTGTGTATTGTTTTTGGTAGATGACCTTTTTATCTTCTGATTAAATGTTACTATTCGACATAATTTCTTAGTATATATTATACTCGGTTGTATTATTACGATTGTTATTTACTTGTCTTATGTATGTATAAATATATGTTACGACTCATTTGATTACATTCTTGCCAACCCGTCTCGGCGGCATGGAAACCCATAAGACCCATGTTAAATCGTAGAAATTTCATTATGCTTACTATGGGGAAAATCGATTTTAGCTGCATTTACCACTGGTATTTAATTTACTTTTACTGTAAGTAAAAGGTGTTTATTGGTGCTGATTCCGAGACCAAAGTAACACGTATACAAACTTTACTCGTATTATATAGGAATACAGTTTTACAGTGTAACAAGCAACCGTGAATGTGATTAGTCAAAATACTACATCACTCGGCATTAACAGACCACTGTACAGAAATGTTGTAATGAATTGCCAAAGTGGCCGAATCTTCCACTAGTTGCATAACCAATGTACGACGCTCCATCGGCTCATGTTGCTGTCACCCATGATGAGAGGGAAAGCTAATTTCCATGTTAATCGTCCGGTCACAGTCACATACAGCGTGGAGGGCCGACACAGGTGGTGTGGCCTGTGACGTAGACTTTCCCCGTGTACCGTGGACCAGGAGACCGGAACGACACGCTGCACGCTCAACGCTGCAGTGATGGTCTACATCCACGGCGCGGCGTCCTGATAACTACCGTCCTATTGTGTAATTGATACATCGTGTTTATTAAATGTTGTCTGGAAAACCGAGTAGGTCTATACTCTAGTTAAATACGATATTGTTAAACTAACTAATTAGGATTTCAAAATTGAGTCAGTTTTGGAAAAGTTATCTGCAAGTGGATAAACTGTCTGATTTGTGTTTTCATGAAATTTAAGGCCGGTAAAGTAATAACACTGTCTTAAAAATAGGGAATCGTTGAGGAACTAAAATAATGTTAAGTTGAACTGTATATTATGATAATGATACTGACAATTAGTTTATTTGCACTTTAGCCTTAGTTTATCATAGTCTGTGATACGAAAGCGAGTTTTACAACTAGTTATTTCTTCCAATACAAATCCGACTGTAAATGGCTTAAACCGTACTTCTATCTATTTTCCTTTAACTTTTTCATATCATAACGTTTACCACATATGCTTACACTTGTTCGATATATTTACAAAAGTGTTGAGATGACAGGTGCTCCATATTGGCGCTCGAGGGCGAGTACCCGAGTACGCGCGGTAATCTGCAGGTAACGGAACACCGGGTACAATGGCGTAATGAACCGCCATGGACGTGGAGCAGCGGAACCGTTCCGCCACTAGCTTCCTACAGGTAATGACGATACGGATCTACATAGGTGAATTAGTTGAGACCTCCTTTGTGTCGGCCCTGGCCGGTTGAAGAACTGTTCAAGTTCAAGAAGGAATCGAGGTTCTTTTCAGCTTGTGGTGTATGAGGTGTACTATGACAACTTTTGTGTTGTTTTCGGATATTGGAGTTTATTTTTGGAAGCAGTAATCTTTATTTCATTTTGAGAGATGTATTGGACTTATTTTTTTACCCGGGATTCGGTCACTGTCTCTACCACTATGTCCTCTACTCAGCCACAAATCCACGTTTGAGACTCCAGCGCAAATGCCCTAACGTCCATGGTTAATTGAACCGTCGTTGTTGTTCAGTTGCACTGCTAAGTCTGTAAAACAAATAGAGGTTAGTAATCAGTAATCGATATGTACCTGTTTGAAGAGGCTCGGCTCAGTAGTGATACTCGACCGGGTGTACCCGCGACACACTTGTGTTGTCCGGGTCACAGCAGGAGCGAGTGACAAGATAATACGTCAAGTGGATCCCCCATTTGTCTCGGTAAAGAACCACGGCTTCTACTCCTCACGTCAGATCTCCTCTGTACAGTACTTCAACGCTGTACTGTATGTTGACGACCACATAACCTACATGAACATGGTTCTTTGACAGATGTCAAAGTTATCGCATGCAAGACCACCAAATATCGCGATATCATCAGAATGATAGAAAATTGATAGGGTTTGCTGAATTTTGTTGCAGGGAATCCAGTTTAACCGATTAACCTAAGAGTCCTTATTATTTCTCTCTTTATAGTTGTGCTAGTGAATCGATGAATAGGTATCATCAATATTATATTTCAAATTATTGTTATGGGTTCACATTTAAGTTTGAAACCCGTAGTTTGTGGAAGTTCAACTAACTCGTTTGTTTCTTCCTGAAATCATTAATTAAAAGTTTAAAAAAATTCGATCAAGGAAGTAGAAAGG